TCAAGTCCGGGTGTGCCTTCCAATTTCATCCTGATGTTGCTTAGGATACCCTCTTGATGGGTGTCTCAGGTTTCTGAAGTTTTCCCCTGCATGGTCCTGTGTGCAAGAGTGTATTTCAGTGGGTGAGAACAGGAGTTTGAGTGAGGGTTCAGCAATTTGTTTGGCTTGCCTTGCGACTTGCGGAATGCGAGTCGAATTTGGCTTCCCTGGTGTTGGGCAGATCATGTGCAGAGTGTTGTCTACATGGTGAGTAAGTCATTGACAGAAAGTGGGTGAATTCTCATGTTTGAGAAGCCTTGGTGTATTTCATACTGTTGTTCTGGTTTGCCTCACTTCACCAGTAGTTGCCCTGCAGAATGAGCTTATCTTGCCTCAATATGTGCGGACGCGTGCATAGGCGTGTGCGATGCCCGGAAAGAACGCATAGGAACATCGCCTCCGTGCAGATGAGCCAGTTCGTTGACAAGGCTTGGCCTGCAGAATGGGGGTTGTCAGGGAGCAGAGCACGCAGGGGGGCAAGAGCAGGCTTGGCGGACGAATTCTTGGAACATGGCCAAGGGATCCCTCGAGTACAAAGACATACTGACATGTTGATGTCAGTTTCTTCTGCCAAGGTCTAAGTCCAAGAGCTGTTCCTTTTCAGTGTAACTTTGGCTTCTCAACTTTGAGCCCGCAGCCAGGTCATCAACATCGACAAGCTGCGACTGGGGGCCACTTCCTGGTACGAGGCCAGCCGTTCATCAACACTGCTTTTTGGTCCTGGCCATGTAAGGGATGAGGGGTTTTTGGCCAGAGCCTGGGGTGTGCGCGGAAGGTCCTTAGAGATCAAGATCAGCACAGAATCTGTCCGACTGTTTGGGCTGTGAAGTTAGGAGGCAGTTTGCATTTTGTGGTTGACAAAAAATGGGGGAAGCATCCCCGAGGTGACAAATAAGTGGGACACATGTCGACACGAAACACCCAAGGAGAGGTCAAGCTGTGCCATGGCAGACATTTGGTACCTGCTGATTTCTGATTGGAGTGAGGCCCTGTTGTAAAGCCAACGTATACACTGTGTTTCTGCACGCTGTGAGTTGAAGCTTGAAATGGTGTTGGACGTCCATTGACTGGCGCTCGACCTGGATGGCTGAAAGTACAGGCGCCCCAACGTACCATGGTTTGGGTTTTAGGTGTTACCTTCCCAAGATAAGGTAGCTTGATCTTGCCCAGCTCCTTTTGTGCCACAGCTTCGTCCTACTCGTTTGCAAGAGGTGACTCCATTGCACCGCAGGACATCATTGCTTCAGTTTGCGACGTGTCTGATGATGGGGAGAGGCTGGGCTTGAGGAAGTGTAATGGTTCAACTCCGATGACGTGTCTATATTGTTGGGGATCGAGCTCGGTTGCAAGCCGTTCACGCATGAAGAAAGAGCTACACACCCGAAAATGTCCAGGACCAAAGCAAGATCATGCTGAAGATGCGTTAGGCAAATCTGTGGAGACATTGGATTTTACAGTCGCAACCTCACGTCCTCACGTAGCACTTTACAGTCCGAATCCAGCGCTGCCACATGCCCCGTCAAGAACTTGATGATGTTGGGGATGCTATTGGGATTTGGCCTATAGAAGCCCCCGTGTTTTTGCACAAACATGCGCCTTGTGTGTGTGTGTGCACATGTTTGCAGAACTCGCCCTGGAAACCAAGACGTTCAAGCATGGCTTCCACTTGGCATGACATCTGACTATGTGCATACCCTTGCAGGGCATCCTGCACTGACTGGATCCTCCACATCATCAGTCTGCCCTGGAAGTTTTGCTTGACGCTGTCCCGGGCCTCAGATGCATGTGTGGAATCCTGCAGGGCATAGCGCAGGGGCATGGCGACTTCAGTGTTGCAGTGTTTTAGGATACGCGGCGTCGAGCGAAGTGAAGCTTGCCGATCTCCGCCCAGTTCTTGTTTTCATCGGTGTTCTCCGGCCATTGCGTCAAAGGCGTCAGGAGGGGTGAAACCAGGATGGAGGGGCCCTTAGATGGATTTCCCTCCGGACTCAAAGATGGAGATTTAGCCGACTGGGTTGACACCGCTAAAATCCAATGATCTCAACTCTCAAGTCACTGCCGGGGACGGACACGAACTCTCCCGCAATAGCTTGGTGTTCCTACCCAGTAGATGCTTACCATGCAGGGGAACAGCGCGAGAGAAAGCAAAGAGACGTGGAACGTGCGTAACGAGACTGCGATCAATTGCGCCGATGCCTCCTTGTCAGCTTCCAAGATCTCTTCTGGAAGTGTCACAGACATGGAAACATGAAGCCATGCACACTGACTTAGCTTTGCTGAAGCAGCTCAGTTCATTTCATACCTTCCCATTTTCCACCAACTGATGTTTTGGGATAGTTGAGTATTGTGAATTGCTTGTTTCAATGATTGATTTGTTGTTTGTTGTATCGACAATGTGAGTTTGGTGCTATATCAATGACTAGATATGTTTTGGAATACCGTGTTTGCCACGGTCCATTCTTAGATTCCGGCTGCACAAGCAGGCGAGAAGAAACAGACTCAGACCATCTCAGACCAAGCCACCTGCAAACCAGACCTGGCCACAGAGACTCACGCCATGGTGAGCTGCAGGCCCCAATGCAGGCTGCTGATGTTGACATGTGCCGTTGGAGCTGTGGTTGGATGCATATTGCTTTAAGTGGGAAAATTGGAATTGCCAGTACAAGTGTACACTTGTGGGGGTTGCTTATGTGCAAGAGGGAGAGAACATATTTGGCTCAAGCCATTTGCTCCGGCCACCTTAACCTTGGCCCGCACCATTTGGTTTGTGTAGTTTTGATTGGTGTTGAACGGCTGCGGCTAATGCAGCTGAGCAGGGGTTTAGGTTTGTCTCACGGTTTTCATATGGTTTTCCCATGGTTTTTCCATGGCTTTTCAATATTTGGCCCATCGCCTGTCCGCTCCATTTCTATTCCTATAATGTTGGACTCTCTTTGGTGTGACCCCCCCCTGAGCAGTGGAACCAGTCGGCGGGACTCTCTTTAGTGAGATCCTGGGGGTCCGGGAGGGGCAGTACTTACATTAGTATTGCCAATTCTGCTTTAGTTTTGCCAAGGCTGACTCTCAGATCCCCAGTACTTACTTTAGTATTGCCAAGGCTGACTCTCAGATCCCCAGTACTTACTTTAGTATTGCCAAGGCTGACTCTCAGATCCCCAGTACTTACTTTAGTATTGCCAATTCTATTTTAGTAATTTCTGCCAAGGGGTGTTTTTTCAACAACCCCCAAAACCAGTTGGACACTAAAGAGGACCCCAAAACAGTCGCATTAAAGAGGATCTGGGCCTCTTGGGGGGCACCCACCTTTGTTTGACTGTTTGCCCGCACTTTTTTGTAAAGAAGTTCTCTTAAGTTTGATTGTTTCGGAACAACTTGCAAAATCGATTTCCTAGATCTCAGGCCTTTAACCTTTGAGCTGGGGAGACCTTAGGATGAGTCCCCTTCATTAAAAGTAAAAGGCTGTGGCTTTGGTTTTCAGTTTTCAGCAACCCCGAAACCAACTGCACACTCAAGAGGACCCCAAAACAATCGCATTAAAGAGGATCTGGGCCTCTTGTGGGCACCCCCCTTTGTGTGACTGTTTGCCCGCACTTTGTGTAAACAAGTTATCTTAAATTTGATGGTTTGGGGACCACTTCAAGAAAACAATTTTCCAATGTTTGCCAGGATTTGGTTGCCTGTTGTTTTGCCCGACTTGTTTGCCAAGTTGTTTGCCCATATTTTTCCCAGCGTTGTTTCCGGCAAAAAACTTTCCACAATAAAGAACCCCTAAAACAGTCCATCGATTCTGAATTAGACACATATTTTCCGCAATAAAGAGTACTATTAATAAAGGAGGTCCAACATTGTCCCATTTTTCGTCCCTTGCTGTTTCCAGGCCGTTCCGATTTTCTTTTAGGAGTTGCTTGCCACAAGCCACCGTTCAGGGTCAGGAGACACATGGAAAACTACTGGAGTCATCTAGCCGGCATTTTGGATGAAGAGACCCCCAGTAAACAAAAACAAACAACAAAAACACAATGATGCCCACATAAGAGCTAAGATCGTTCTGCACAGATCAATGCCAGTCTCAAAATTGGCGCATACACGGTAGTTTGCTTTGGGTTTGCAAATTGCTTCAAGAAGGAATGGCGTATTAACTGACAATGCGTCTCAATGCGTCTCAATGCGTCTCAATGTATGTGCATTTCCCAATGAATTAGGCATATATTGCTATATGTTTCTTTTTGAGCGTCCTCCCTGCCGAGAAGACCATGACGGAATGGCACGCAGATGCTGGTGTCGCGTTGTTTTGTTCAGGATCCACCCTTGCCCCATTCCTTGGCCCAAACTTGGTGTATTGCAGACTAGCAAGGGCACAAATTTTGCCGCCAGGCGCGCTGGTCAGTCGATGAAGGTGAGGGCGCCAGAACCCCAGGCAAGGGGTGGTTTCATGCGCAAATCGCACCAAGCTCAGCTCTTTGCTCCAGAATATATTGCATTCTCACGTTACATTATCTCCGCTGCTTGTTTGCTTTTGTTCCAATGCCACTTTTCCGGTGACTGTGACTGGGCAATGGCACGCTAGCTGGTGCTTGGCGTAAGCCAGTTGGTTACCCAAGGTCTGGGAGCGCTATGCCCGTCAGGCTGGGGGTATTTCGAGGCAGCTGTGGCATGTGATGTTGTGGTCCTGGCAACACGGTGCTTGGCGGCTCACTAGCTTGCGCTCTGGACTGTTCAGTACCTACTTTCACAAGCTACACCTCACTTGGATAAAAGGGCCATGTTGTTCTTAGGCTCGACTGGTTACTGATGGTATGTTTGCATTGCCTTGTATTTTGTTTTTTCATGATGTGTTCAAGTTGCAAAGTCCCTGCTTCCACATATATCCAGCAAACTCACTTAACTTGCATTAATGACAGTGCATATTACAGCCGACTAGGTCACATCATCCTACGCCTTGCGACAATGATGCCGTGTCCATGAGTGTCAGTGAGAGTTCATTAGTGAGACACTGGCTTCTTTGTCATGGTTGAAAAGGGATAAATTCAACACTAAGCTGCAGAACCACCTGCAACCTGGACTGGGCAGAATTAGTTTACAACCACACTGCCCCTCAAGGGAAGGCGAACTTCAAAACATGAGCAGCTTGAGGGTGCTTGGGCATAGGGTTGCTAGTTTTCCTGGGGACCCGCGGCCTTGCTGGGAAAGATTCCGCCAGGCAAGATTCTTTCTGTTGCGGATGATACATGCCGCAAAGAATCCACAGGACTCAAATGGGCTCTTGCTTTTGTTTTGCCCCGCATCAACTCTGCTGTGGCTGTTGGGGCGGCTCGCTTTCCGGAGTCGAACACGCGGCACGGCAGGGCGAGCGCATCGGCGCCGGCGGCTTCGGCTTCGTCTACCGCGCGGCGAGCAAAGCGTCGGGGCAGCATGTGGCCGTCAAGGACGGGGCAAATCCGGACGTGTTCCGCTGGACGTGGCCCAGTCGGTCTGTGTGTTGAAGGCAATTCAGTGAGGCACTTGGATGTTGCGGCATCCCATGCGGTCAGCCACAGCAAGAACAACACCTCCAGATGGGCTTTTTCATGTTGGCTTTTTTTCAGCATGGACCAGACATGAGCGCGGGCAACTCATTTGTGACACGCAATCACGAATAGAAAATTCAATACCCGTTTTTTGGATTTAAACCAACCGGAACCCAAGAGGAGAAGGTTGCCACGAGCAGCGTGAGGCTTTGAGCCGTTTTGCAGGCCGTGCCCAAGCTGGACCTTAAGCGCGCGCCCTCCACAGCCCCAGAACAGCTGGGGCAGATGCGGAGGCCGAAAACGCACGCGAATCGGAGCTTCGGGGTGTCCCAGGCAGAGAGCACGTGTTGTTTGTTCGAAGAAGGATGGGTGGCCCTTTAGCTTTCCTCTGACCGCCCCAAGTTGTCGCCCTATGAGTTTGGCAGAGACAAACAGAATCAAATAGACTGGTGCGTCAAGATCAAGATACAAGACATGTTGGGTTTCGAAGTTTGATGTTCGGACGTTTGGATTAGTGAAGGACATACACCTGGAGCCATGCCTGTACACATCCAACGTCTCATGTTAACTAGATTCGAACAACCGTGAATGACATCACCGGATGTCACCGAAGGAAAGCGCCGCGCAATCATAGTTTTCCCCTTAGATCAGGTTGGTTGAAAGCAGATGTCGCCGGTGTTTGTTTGGTTCTAACCATTTCCAGTGTCACTTGGATGTGTGTCAAAATAGGACATCCCCAGTTTTGTGGTTTTCCCTCTGGTTTCTCTTTAAGCTGAGCTGAAAGTGTGTTTTGAACAACTAGAGGACGATTGGCCCGAAAGCATTTTTCCACAGGTGTTCATCCAGCCGCGGAGACACCTTTTTACATCGCTGCGGCGAGCGTGTCTGCGCGCGGCGATGCTCAGTGTGTATGGTCACATGAGAGCTCCATCTCATCATCCTACTTTCCTCTCGAACTGCGCCGCGCGATTTCTCACGAAAGTGGTCTGCGCAAGCTGCATTGTTCCACGCTGCTGCGCGCAAGTTGCTCTCTGCAAGCTGCTGCACGGAAGTGCTCTGTGCAAGTTGCTCTGCGCAAGTGCTCTGAGCAAGTTGCTCTGCGCAAGTGCTCTGCGCCAGTTGCTCCGTGCAAGCGCTTTGCGCATGTGCTCTGTGCAAGTTGGTCTGTGCAAGTTGCTCTGCGCCAGTTACTCCGTGCAAGCGCTTTGCGCATGTGCTCTGTGCAAGTTGCTCTGCGCAAGTGCTCTGAGCAAGTTGCTCTGCGCAAGTTGGTCTGTGCAAGTTGCTCTGCGCAAGTGCTTTGTGCAATTGCTCTGTGCAAGTTGCTCTGCGCAAGTTGCTCTGCGCAAGTGACTCTGCGCAAGTTGCTCTGCGCAAGTGCTGCCGGAGCTGTGGGAATGTACTTCGCGTACTATTTTTGTACTTAAAAGCTGCGATTTTCCAGCCGGAGCTGCGGGGGTGTTCTCCGCGTACTACGTTTGTACTTAAAAGTTGCGATTTTCCAGCCTGAGCTGCGGGAGCACGCTCCGCATATCACGTCTGTACTTAAAAGTTGCGATTTTCCAGCCGGAGCTGCGGGAGTGTGCTCCGCGTACTATTTGTGTACTTAAAAGTTGCGATTTTCCAGCCGGAGCTGCGGGGGTGTGCTCCGCGTACTACGTTTGTACTTAAAAGTTGCGATTTTCCAGCCTGAGCTGCGGGAGCACGCTCCGCATAATACGTCTGTACTTAAAAGTTGCTGTTTTCCAGCCGGAGCTGCAGGAGCACGCTCCGCGTACTACGTTTGTACTTAAAAGCTGCGATTTTCAAACCGGAGCTGCCGCGGACCAGGGGGGGAATCGAACCCGCACCGCGGGATTGCGAAAGCAGGCGCGCGAGCCACGAGACAACTTCCAAAGGCCATTTCGCGAGCAACAAATTCGCACGACGCCACAGCGAGAGCGCTTCGACACGCACGATCCCCGCCGAGGGTCGCGCGCGGCTTGCAGAAATCGTACAAAGTCCTCAGTTTTTGAACCTCGACCGCGCGAATGTGCGCAGAGGGTCGCGCGCGGGCGGATCTCCGCAGAGGGTCACAATCCCGAGCGATGATCAAACTCCCGCCCCGGCGCCTTAGAAACCTAAACTAACTTACATAGCTGCTTACGCCGAAGCTCTACGCAAGCTCTACCTAACCTTGGCTCTGTGCCACCTGGCTCTGTGTCACTTGGCTCTGTGCCACTTGGCTCTATGCAACTTGGCTCTATGTAACTTGGCTCTATGTAACTTGGCTCTATGTAACTTGGCTCTATGTAACTTGGCTCTATGTAACTTGGCTCTATGTAACTTGGCTCTATGTAACTTGGCTCTATGTAACTTGGCTCTATGTAACTTGGCTCTATGTAACTTGGCTCTATGCTCTATGTAACTTGGCTCTATGTAACTTGGCTCTATGTAACTTGGCTCTATGTAACTTGGCTCTATGTAACTTGGCTCTATGTAACTTGGCTCTATGTAACTTGGCTCTATGTAACTTGGCTCTATGTAACTTGGCTCTATGTAACTTGGCTCTATGGCTCTATGTAACTTGGCTCTATGTAACTTGGCTCTATGTAACTTGGCTCTATGTAACTTGGCTCTATGTAACTTGGCTCTGTGTAACTTGTCCAAGGGCTCCGCACGGAAGAACCCTTCGCGATGCTTTCGGGAAAAAGGCACACACACACACCTAGGCGGGTGGTTTGCTTTAGCACCGAGATGGTTTCACTGCCCTTTGGCGAGGCGGGATGCTCAGCGCCTCAACGAGGAGATCTTGATCATGAGGCGGGCTGATGATTGGCCGGCGCGCGTCACAGTCAAAACCTATTCAAATCAGAGGACCCCAAAGCGCTGAGAAGCGGGTTCCAGCTTGCATTAATATGCAATCAACCAATGAAAGCGCCACGAAGAAGTCTCCTATCAATCACCACATGTGACGAGCTGGGCAACTGCCAGGATGCTTGACCACCCCAACATCGTCCAGCTGTTCGAGACGTTTGAGGCACTTGAGGGCACTTTGGACTCCGTGCAAGATCAGCAGGTGTGTGTGTGCGCGTGCGAGAGCGTGCGTGCAATGCGTGCGGGCAGGCTGACGCAAGCCCGTTCTTTTTTGCGTGCGTACGTGTGTGTACGTGTGTGTGTGTGTGTCGTGTTTTGGTTTTGTTGTGTAAGTAGTTTGCATGATTGTTGTTTCCTTTGTTGGTTTGTGTTTTTCTTGTTTGGTGCGTTTGCAATGGGAGTTTCTGGGTTTTTTCAGTGCGATGCGTTTGTTTGTTTGTTTATTTATTGGTTGGTTGGTTGGTCTTGCTTGGTTGGTTGAGTGGGTGGCTGTTTGGTTGTTTGCTGTTGAGTTTCTGTGCTTGCTTGTTTGCTTCCTTGTTTGCTTGTTTTTTTGGTTGGTTGGATTGCTATGTTGGTTTGGTTTGTCCAAGCATGCGTGTGCCTCTTTGGATTCGATGTTGGTTGGTAGTTTGTGTTGTTGGTGTGGACTTGGCACGGATGTAAGGCTTCCCATGTGCTTTCATCCAGCCCTTATACTCTATATCACGCCTAGCATGGAATCCGGCACTTCTCTGGGGCCACTCCGGTTTTCTTATCGGGAGGTTGGGAGTTGACTGCCAGGATGAGGGCAACGTGTACTTGGTCATGGAGCTGTGCAGCGGTGGCGAGCTCTTAGGCGGCCCGTGGATCCAACGCGGGCGTACCCATAGCTCTGGAAGTGTGCGTCGGAAGGGATTGAAATGGCCAGGCCCATCTAAGCCACCAAGATCCACCAAGAGTAGAGTTTACACGACCCACATCACCATGTGGAAAGTGTCTCACGAATTCGTCACTACAACAACGGCCAACAAGAAATAAACAGGTACCTGATTCCCGGCTTGTAACCAAGCCGAAGTGTTGGGCCGGTTGCCAGTCCTACTCGGCGGCTCGCTCGGCTTGCAGGTTACATCCTGAATTCGGGATTTCACACCGAGTCGCTGGCTGCCAGCATCATGAGCCAGGTGTGAACGGGAGGGCGATGAAGCTGAGTTTGTGTTGTGCCCTGCCAATTGCACGGGTTGTTCGACGCTGGCAATCATGACAAGCCCAGAATGGCTTCCATGTTCCGAACCTCGGCTCGGTTGCCTTCTCCGGACTCAGCCAGAACTTTCGATCCAAGCGGGGTTTCGAAACCTGCCCCCTCCCAACCCGGCCGAAAGGTCTTCCAGGCGGTGAAGTACATGCACTCGGTGCGTGTGTGCCACCGGGACCTGAAGCACAGCACCTCGGAAGTTGTTACTTCGAGTTTTGGAGATGATAAAGTCGACCCCATCATACCGCTTCCCCAGTTTGTGCACTTTGTTTGTTTTGAGCAACAAAACAAATGAGCGTTGGTGGGAAAGAAACAGTTTGGGCTTCTACTTGGGCCAATCACCAATCCACGCAGAAAGTGAGCCAAACGCGTGGCTTTATATCGGACTTTCCAACGCAGGCCTTCTGGATTTGTTCTTTTCGTTTTTGTGGGCGGTTGATTTGATTTGTTTTGAGTTGTTGCCGGGCTGCTTATGTTGCATCAGTGGACAGCCTCCTACCAGAGGGAATGGGTGAAGCATCCTGTAGTTTTGCGCACGTAAAGACGTCCATCACTGGATACTCATGCAGCTGTCTCGATGCTTGATGTTTGTGCAGCACACTGACTTTACACTACATTTACTGAAGATTGATAGAGCAAATTAGTGTTCATCGCTTCCGTTGCTTGCTGACAGCAATTTGATGCAACATTCAAGCTACATGCGATGCCAATTAATGAAATTTGCACACGAGGGGGTAGGAGGCTTGTCGAACCATGGCAGATTTGGTGAACCCAACTTTCAGTAAGCGAGTTCAAGTACTCAAGCAACTAAAAATTAGAGGGGCGTGAGCCTTTGGGAGCCGCCGCGAGGCAACACCTTGCTGCTCAGCCAGGCTCCATTTCGGGAAAACTGTGTGAGTCTTGGCTGAGAAAACATTTGGGAGCGCAGAAGCTTCAAGTTGATTCATGGACATCTGGCGTGCAAGAAGGGAGCACCCATCCAAGTGCACTTGTCATTGTTGCTGGGTGTGCGTTATTGGCCGGTGCTACATTCGGACATGCACTGGCGAAAAGTCGATTGTTTGTGTGCTCGCGAAACTTGTTCCTTAGCTTTGACCTTACTCTGATTGAACTGTGGCAACATCTCAGACCGCACCCCGTCGGGGCAGTCCCTCACAGTCACTGAGCCAGTGACATGTCCGGTGCACCGTCGAGGATCATCTAGGACACGCACCGAGTTTCTCATAGCATGTTCATAATATTGTCAGAAGTACACAATCGCAAGGCTCGCCATGGCAGACAGATCATGTTGGCTTCCCTTGAAGCAGAACCTCAAAAGGTGATTCCGTTCATGGCGCACTACTTAGGAAGATCGTGGACTTTGGCCTCGCCTGTCGTTTTGAGCCCCACGAGCCCATGCGGCAGTGCGCGGGTACGGCGATTTATGTGGCTCCCCAGGTGGGGGATGGGCCGGGGTGCTGGAAAGATGACGTGGCAAACATGGGAAGGGAAGAAGCGGCAAAGGCCGAAATGAAACGGGGCAGGGTGGCTTTTAGCAGGAACATGGTTTTCCATGGATAGTGTTGCGCATGTTGGGAGAAGAAATGTTTCGCGCCTGTCAAGGGATGTTATGACATGTCATGATATGTGAAATGAAACAAAACAAAGGTACTGAGTGGTGTGTCGTATGTGTTGCATCCGCGCAGGCATGCATGTCAAAAACTCACAGGGGCTCACTGACCAGAGGAATGCAGTCGTTGCACAGCCCTTCTAGCCAATCACTGGCAATTGGCGCATTTGTCAAGGGAAAGGATTTGGCGCCCCAAATTTACATCACCTGCACCATGAGCTACAACCTTTTTGTGTAGCTAATGTGAACTAGGCTCTAACATGCTCTAACATTCACAACAAGTTCATGAAGACAAACTTGTATTCGACGCATATACTTGAAGTGCACAAAGACATGTTTGGTTTGGCAGTTGAATGGGCCAACCAGCATGCCGGGCAGGTCTTGGAATGCAAGTACTACCACCACGTGGATTTGTGGAGTTGTGGTGTGCAGGCCTTGGACTGTGATTTGGAGTCTCGGATGCGTAGAACGTGGCAATCTTACAAGCGCTGGGGGCACAAGCCTGGCAACGCTTCATGGGACTGTTTTATTATGGTGCATTTCGTGTGTGCGAGTAAATCAGCATGACCTGCGGAAGCGGGCCCAGCTGCCTAGGTCCTGTTGTACATCCTGTTGTGTGGATATCCACCCTTCCGTGGCGACACCGACGCGGCAATCATGACAGCGATCCGGAGGCAATGTCAACGCATCTTGCGCAGCGTTGCATGTCCAGGCAAGCGTGCTAAAACGCGTTCGGCTGGTGTTGTATCCATGGCTGGCTTGGCTAATGAGCTGATAAGTTGGGGGGTTATCCTTTTTAGACCTTCCGGATCAACAGATGGCGCGCTTCATCCTGGAGGGCCAAGTTGTCCTCCGAAAGGCAAACATACAGGCTGCTCTGGATGACTTCAAGAGGAGGGCATTCATGTCATACATAGCGTTTGGATCAGCTTGCGCCAGGGGCAACTACTCCTTTCCATCCTCAGACTGGTCGTTTGTGTCCGAGGACATTGGGGAGGGATGCCCTTGCACCAGAAGCAGTGGTAAAAAAGTATCGTTAAAGTGGCCTTATAATGGGAAGACCCCGTTAAGGTAGGCGCCTTCAACTATAACCAGTAGCCGAGGTTCAGCATAAGCATTAGCCACATCGGTGTTGTATGAGGTTGCTGCTAACAGGCTGATCACAGCCCAGCAAGCAGCTATGTCAAGGAAGGATTGGGGCTAGGCTTGATCGACTTTGACTCTCTAAATTTCCCACAAGCACTTGTGGTACTCTCGCCAATTGTCCTTTAAGTTTGTTTTTGACCGCGGCTCATGCGTACACGCGGCAAGGATGCGAAGTCATTGATCCGATCTCTCTTGAAGATGAAGGTCAAGGAGTGACTGGACAAAAGTCGCCAGAGATGCTATGCGAAGCCTTACACATATTTTGGTGTTTCCCCCTTCTAAGTTTCCCGAGTGGACACGATGAAGCAACATGATTGCTCATGGAATGCTTCATACTGTGACCTCCACGACTGCGCGGCATTGGGCAAGTACGAGCTGGCAAGTTTGGGGGCCACTGAGAGTTGGTTGCCTCATTTTGATGATATCGATATACCTATTAGGCATGCTGCTGCCATTTCTGAGTTTCTTGGCGCAAGTTTGTTGCCCAAGCTTCCACCCCAGTTTGTTGATCTACCAGGATCATTTTAGTTGTCAGAAGCCCTCCCTGAGCTGTTGTCGGCAAGCGAGTCCTTGGAGGCCAATAGCAAGCACCTCCTAAAACTACGACTGAGTTGTTGAGAATGCGTGGTTTGGATGGCTTGGATGGTTGGCTGGGATGGTTTGCGTGGTTTGGTGGTTTCTTGCGTGCAGACATTCAGACAAAATTACAGAGCTCGCAGGAGCGGATTACTGTGGAGAACGCGCTGCAGCACAGATGGATCAAGGACAAGTGGACAAATGAAACATCGACTTCCCTGGATAGTTGGCATGTTTGGGGCTTGGATAACGGTTGCCTGCAAGGGACAAGTTATGGCTGGTTGGGCAGAGTGGTCTGAACTGATTCGCTCACCAGCGCTAGTTCTTTGTGAATGCAATTGTGTTATGTGTTCCTCACATTCTTGAACACCAGGAGCCCAAGGGAGAGGAGATCCTCAGCAAAGCGCCCGGGCCCTGACACGTGTCGATCCGGGTCGAGAACGTATGGGCGAACTGGGCCAGACTGGCAAACTTGCCAGGACCCAAGAGGAAGTGCCTTGTTGCAGCTGGTTGTGGTTTTGCGGGCGGTGGTCACTGGGAATTCTTGGAGTGGTATTGGAGGGTTGTCCTTTTGTCTTTATGTTTCTGGGTTACATCAGTCGCCGGCTCAGTCCGCCAGTCTGCGAACAGCACCAAAGTCACGAAAAGCAAATCACAAGGCAGTGCCAAGAAGAGCATGTACAGTCTGCAAGTGATGGGGCAAGCGCCCATTCAGGCATTGCCTCGCAGACTACACTTCTTAAACAAAATATCCTGATATTGTGTGTGTGTGTTGCTTGTGAAGAGGTCTTGGTGGGAAAGTGTAAAGGGATTCCTAAAAGGCGGTCGACTATATTGGCTTAGTAGCGGTGTTGCCGTGGGTCAGTATAGGTTTCGCCGATTAGTTCTTGTTTGTATGCGCTAGCATTGGGTTAGCATTGGCCGACCCACCCACACGTTTTTCAAACTAAGCACCCCATTGATTATTTGTGAGTGAATAATGAGTTCGCCAACACTGTTCAGTAAGTCACGCTCTTTCGAACATCGCGCCACCAAATAAGGCAGACATGTTGGGACTTGTCTTGCCTTAGTTTCAGGGCCGACGGCACACACAACATGTACCAACTTTGGCAGTGCTGCATCAAGTAAGCTGAGGCGTTCCTTGTGACAATTAGTTCAGAAAGTGCACTGGCAGGATTCCCGCCAGACCCGGCTTTCCAGGCTGGAGCGGATGCGGCGATTTATCGCGCACCAGCAAAAAACCCAAGACCTGAATCCAGAGCCGCAGCCCCAGCTGCGTTGCGCTGTGCCACGCCGTTGCATTTGTGAGAGTGTTTTGCACGCGCACGAATCTATCTAAAATCATGCTGGTGGTGCAAAAACAAGGCAGGACGCTGGCAGTCCTCTTGGGGAAGGCGCGCTGCAGTGCTGCGAGACTGGATACATAGAGGCAGCCAAGTGAGCGCAGTGTCATAAGTCCCATACACGGACTAGCACCAATTAGTCAGGCAGAGTGTGTAGACGAATGGTGGAACCAATTCAATCAGAAATACAAACACAGCAAAGATGCGGACATGATTGCACCCACAAGTCACCAAACTCAGCCAGGCAAGGAACTTGAATCCTGATATGACTGCTCTATGGCTGGCAGCGCGCTGTTTCTTGCGCTGGTTGCCCAACCATTTTTTCCCGCTTCTTTGTTCTGCTTGGGTGTGTCTCAAGATCCTATGGATTTGTTTCTGGATCAACTTTTCAGCAGCCGACATTCGAGACTCGACAGCTGGCCAGGCCTTGGAACCATGGGCTCTCAGTCTTCCATCGCCACGCGCATCCCTCAAGCCGGGGGCTTTTGGCCCGGCGCTCGGGACGCGAGGGCCAACAAGTTGGACCACAAAGAAGCTCTGTGGGTGACCGAAAAATGACGGGCAGGGGAATCGACTTGCTTGTCACCAAAACGCCCCTGGCGTTATGCTTGGCTTGCTTGGAACGCTTTTTGTTGGTAAGCAGCCTTGACCAAGTCGAAATCCAAAGGATCTCAAGGTCAAGGAAACCGTGTGAGCTGAGTGGGCAGAATGACTCCCAAGTCGTGATCCTAAAACCAGGGGCAATCGAAACCCGCATATTTGAAACAACGCTAAGGTTCAAAGATCTGCAGAACCAGTGGGCCGCTCTGACAGCTGCTGTAGGCCTGTTTTGCCAGTGCAAATAGTCAAGATGGTTTGCACACTGATCAGTTGGTTTGTTCTGCGTATGATTCAGTGGAGGGCTCGTGTTTCAACACCCTAACCCCCACCCTTTCCCCCCGGAAGGGAGCGTTCCACTTTTTAGGGGTTGTGATTTCGGGGCCACGATCCTTGTCATGCAGGCTCTGTGATGAGCGGCTCCAAGAAGGCGCGAGGGGTCGGAAGTAGTTTGCCTGGGTGAGTCGAACGCCAAGCTTTGGATGGATGTTTCCAGTTGTTTCTTGCTTCTTCCGGGGTTGTCTTTTGGCTCTTGTGGCTTTTTGCGAGGCTTTGTGGCTGTGGTGGCGTTTCGACCCTAAACCACCACTAAACTCACACCTAAGCCACAACTAGACCAACCTGAAGATGTTTTCTAGTTGAGTTCTTGAATCAGTGCAATGGCAGGACGCACCTTAGAGTGAGGACTAGAAAGGGGCCGAATTTCCAGCCGGATGCTGCCAGGCGGGGGTTGCGCCTTTGCCGGAGGCGCAGGCAGTCCTGGAAATGCTACTCTCCCCCTCAGTAGAAATCCCCTTCAAACAAAAGGGTATGTACCTCTATGTCTGTACATTCCCACAAGTGCTATGTTAGTGGGAGGGATGTTACTTGCCAAGCGGCGATGCAGTGAGCTGAAACTGATGGGAACCCTGGGGACCCCTGCAACTGCTTGGTTGTTTTCGCTTGCCCCTACATCAGAGACTGGATCCCAGATTTGTTGGAGGTGGAGGGCAAGTGGATCTTTCACCAGTTCTGTTGCAGGACTTGGCACCAATCGGCAAGTTGCTGGAGAAGGACTCTCAAAATACAGATGCCAAGTCACGGCAACTCAATCAGCTGATCACATGTGTATGTCGTATGCCAAAGCTCATCTTGTGGCTGGTTCTTAACAGATTTATAGTTGAGGCATTTGGGTTGGCAGCGATCCATCTTGGTGGGAAGATGGCTTTGCTTGGCGGCCCCTAGCCGTTGATTGGTGGGTGTCTTTGTCAAGAGCAGCCGTTTTGATGTATACACCATTGCAAGGTTGCGCCCGATCTCATGGCAACGGCGCAGGAGTTGAGCCCAAGCCAATGTTTCCGGCACAAGCATGTGGAAGAGGACAGGGTGCTTGTGACAGAAAATATGAAATCGCACATGGCGACTGGCCAAGTTATAGGCTGGCAAGACGGGCGCACCCAGGATCAAGGTTTGCAGCTTGAAAGTTCCTTATGCAATCTTATGTCCATTGCTGAACCGAGCAACTACTTGCTATCCCAGTGCAGCGATTTACTTGAATGTTTGGTGCGCTTACCACTCGATTCCAGCCAACGAACAGCAGTCGGCTGATGCTCAGATTGGCTTGGGCATGCTTCCCACCTTGAGCTGAACTTCCCTCGCAGACCAATCAGGAGATGAGCCCCAGCGCAGTCTTCAAGAAGAAGCACGTGGAGGTGCGGCAGCAGAGGGTCATATTTTAACGCCTCCGGCTCAGGCCGCCGACAATACAGGCCTGCCTTCTTATTTGCGTCCCTTTGGAATTGTCCCCTTGCCCCCCTTCCCCTCTAAGATTTTTGCCCCCCTTTCCCTGTTGAGATCCATTCCCCCTTTCCCCCCTAAGGCCCTTTCTCCCTCTGAGATTTTTCCCCTTTTCCTCCCTAAGATGTTTTCCGCCCTCTCCTTGTTGAGATCCTTTCCCCCCTTTCCCCCCTAAGGCCTTTTCCCCCCTGAGATCTTCTCCCCCCCTGAGATCTTTTCCCGTTCCTCCCTGAGATCTTTCCCCCCCTTTCCCTGTTGAGATCCTTTCCCCCCTTTACCCCCTAAGGCCTTTTCCTCCGCTGAGATCTTCTCCCTATTCCTCCCTAAGATCCTTTGCCCCCTTTCCCTGTTGAGATCCTTTCCCCCCTTCCCCCTAAGGCCTTTCCAGATCTTTTCCATTTTCCTTCCTAAGATTGGTTCCTTCCTTTCCCTGTTGAGATCCTTCCCAGCCTTTCCCCCCTAAGGCCTTTCCCCCCCTGAGAGCTTCTCCCTTTTCCTTCCCAAGATCTTTCCCCCCCTTTCCCTGTTGGCCTTTTTTCCCCCAGATCTTCTCCCTTTCCTCCCTAAGATCTTTCCCCCCCTTTCCCTGCTGAGATCATTTCTCCCCTTTCCCGCCTAAGGCCTTTCCCCCCCTGAGATCTTCTCCCTTTTCCTCCCGAAGATCTTTTGCCACCTTTTCCTGTTGAGATCCATTCCCCCTTTCCCCCCTAAGGCCCTTTCTCGCTCTTTTCCCTTTTCCTCCCTAAGATGTTTTCCCCCCTCTCCCTGTTGAGATCCTTCCCCCCTTTCCCCCCTAAGGCCTTTTTCCCCCTGAGATTTGTTTTTTTCCTCCCTGAGATCTTTCCCCCCCTTTCCCTGTTGAGATCCTTTCCCCCCCTTTCCCCCCCAAGGCCTTTCCCCCCGCTGAGATCTTCTCCCTTTTCCTTCCTAAGATTGGTTCCCCCCTTTCCCTGTTGAGATCCTTCCCACCCTTTCCCCCCTAAGGCCTTTCCCCCCCTGAAAGCTTCTCCCTTTTCCTTCCGAAGATCCTTCCCCCCCTTTCCCTGTTGGCATTTTTTCCCCAGATCTTGTCCCTTTCCTCCCTAAGATCTTGTCCACCCCTCTCCCTGTTAAGATCATTTCTCCCCTTTCCCCCCCAAGGCCTTTGCCCCCAGATCTTCTCCCTTTCCTCTTTAAGTTTTTTCTCTCCCTTTCCCTAAGATCTGAGAACCATTTCCCCTCTTTCCCCCCCCTAAGTCCCCTCCCTAAGATGTTTTCCCCCCTTTCCCTGTTGAGATCCTTTCCCCCCTGTCCCCCTAAGGCCTTTCCCCCCCTGAGATCTTCTCCCTTTTCCTCCCCAAGATCTTTTCCCTCGGTTGAGATCCTTTCCCCCTTTCCCCCCGAGATCTTCTCCCTTTTCCTCCCTAGGATCTTTTCTCCCTGTCCCTGTTGAGATCCTTTCTCCCCCTTTCCCCCCTAAGGCCTTTTCAGATCTTCTCCCTTTTCCTCCCTAAGATCCTTTGCCCCCTTTCCCTGTTGAGATCCTTTCCCCCTTTCCCCCCTAAGGCCTTTCCCCCCCTGAGATCTTAAGGCCTTTTCCCCCCCTGAGATCTTCTCGCTTTTCGATCCTTTCCCCCTTTCCCCCCTAAGGCCTTTTCCCCCCCTGAGATCATCTCCCTTTTCCTCCCTAAGATGTTTTCCCCCCTTTCCCTGTTGAGATCCCTTCCCCCCTTTCCCCCCTAAGGCCTTTTTCCCCCTGAGATCTTCTCCCTTTTCCTCCCTAAGATCTTTTTCCACCTTTCTTTATTGAGATCCTTTCCCCCCTTTCCCCCCTAAGGCCTTTTTTCCCCTGCGGTCTTCCCCCTTTTCCTTCCTAAGATCTTTTCCCCCCTTTCCTTGTTGAGATCCTTTCCCCCCCTTTCCCCCCTAAGGCCTTTTCCCCCCAAGATCTTCTCCCTTTTCCTCCCTAAGATGTTTTCCCCCCTTTCCCTGTCGAAGATCCTTCCCCCCTTTTCCGGTTGAGATCCTTTCCCCCCTTTCCCCCCTAAGCCTTTTCCCCAAATCTTCTCCCTTTCCTCCCTAAGATCTTTCCCCCCCTTTCCCCTAAGTCCTTTTCTCCCAGATCTTCTCCCTTTCCTCCCTAAGATCTTTCCCCCCCTTTCCTTCCTAAGATCTTTCCCACACTTTTCCTGTTGAGATCCTTTCCCCCCTTTCCCTCCTACGGCCTTTCCCCCCCTGAGGGCTTCTCCCTTTTCCTTCCTAAGATCATTTCCCTTTCCCTGTTGGCCCTTTTTCCCCAGATCTTCTCCCTTTCCTCCCTAAGATCTTTTCCACCCCTTTCCCTGTTGAGATCATTTCTCCCCTTTCCCCCCCAAGGCCTTTTTTCCCCAGATCTTCCCCCTTTTCCTTCCTAAGATCTTTTCCCCCCTTTCCCTGTTGAGATCCTTTCCCCCCCTTCCCCCCTAAGGCCTTTTCCCCCCCAAGATCTTCTCCCTTTTCCTCCCTAAGATGTTTTCCCCCCTTTCCCCCCTATGG